GAGGGCACGATCATCGGGATCATGTGCCTGCACGTGGATGACTTCCTCATGGGCATCAAGCAGGACGACCCGGAGGGCGCCAAGATCATGAATGACCTGCAGAAGGAGATCGACTTTGGCGAGGTCAAGGACGCGAGGAAAGAGCAGGCGACGTTCTGTGGCCGTGGCTACAAGCAGGAGAAGGACGGCAGCATCAACATCACCATGGAGACCTACGTGAAGTCGATGCAGACTGTACGTATCTCCAGAGAGCGCAGCAAGGCACCAGATAGCGCCTTGACTCATGCAGAGCATCGTGGACTACGAATGGTAGCTGGACAATTGCAATGGGCTGCGCGGATGATATGCTCCGAAGAGGCCTTCGAAGCATCCCGACTGGCATCTACGCTGGGGGCCCCGACGGTGAAGGACCTACAGGACGGCAACGCGGCCATCAGGCGAATACAGAAGCGGGACGACTTGCTGATCAGGTTCTCAGCAGGCCTGAACCTGTGGGAGACCATGGTGATCAATGTCACCGACAGTGCTTTCGACAATCTGCCGAAGCACAGATCACAACGCGGGCGCTTCATCATGCTGGGCGACCAGAAGATCAACGAGGACCACAGTAACAAGTACAACGTACACTGCATTGGGTGGCAGTCTTCCAAGATTCAACGAGTAGTACGATCTACTCTTATCGGCGGAGGCCTACTCATGCGCGGCTTCAGTGGACGTGTTGATATGGATGAGATCGACCCTGGCGGAGATCCTGCACCCGGAGATGGACATGACCGAGATTGTGTTCGACACCTGCCCGGTGAAATGCATTTCGGTGACCGACTGCAGGAGCCTATACGACACGATCACAAAGGAGAAGATTTCTATGACGGACAGGAGGCTTTCTTTGGAAGCGGCTATATTGCGGCAGTCGCTCAAAGAGGTCAGCATCAAGTGGGTCAAGAGTGAGCAGATGCTAGCGGACTGTTTGACAAAAGTACTTCCAGGAGGCTACGCGAGGAAGATAGTTACATCAAATTTGTGGACTCTTGGGCCTGATGAGAGGGCACCATCAATACGCGGCCGAAAGCTTGTTGGACCAGAGAAGGTGGCAGCCAACTAGGAGGTGGACGAGCTCAACGCGAAGATGGCCAAGTACGTCAAGCAGGAGCTGTACGACGACACTGGGAAGGGCGACGAAGAGATCTCTACGTGGCCGGTGGAGACGTACAACTACGTGGACGAGTGCTTCTACGACGACAAGGACGAGGTTCAAGACGAGGACTACGTCGAGGCATTCTGCACGGAAGAGCTAACGGACAACTACCTAGTTGTAGTTCTGTTTCAACTTTGTGCACTTGCAGTGTATGGAGTTTGTCTTTCGATATCTCCTGCGGTGGTGACAGTAGTCTCTATCATCGCGGGTATCATCATATTCATTTACGTAATGACGCCTACCCAGAATGACGACGAGGACATGTTTGATCCGATGGAGGTGGATAGTTCAAGCAGCGACAACCTGTTCAAGCCAGAGTTGCCCGAGAAGCAGGTCAAGGTCAAATCCAGGACGGCGAAGGCTACGCCGGAAACTACAACGACAACACTCGCAGTACGAACCGATCCAGCGACCTATGACGACGATACCATGGGAGATGGACCAATTATGTTGGGAGATGGTGCTCTACTAAGGCTTCTAAGGCAGTGGCTGGAGACCATGGGACCAACGATACTCAGGAGTGGCAAGTACGAGGGCGACAGCTATGAGACGATCTATACGAAGGACAGGCACTACGCAAATTGCCTAGGACGGTGTCTCAAGCTGGACGCAGACGAGAGCAGGAGTTATAGTCTCGACCCGAGCATCAAGGTTTACATTGCATACAGCATCATCAAGTCAGCAGTACGTGTGTGCTGAGGATGATGAGTGATTTGAGTTATCAGTTTCAGATGATGGGTGATATGGTTACCATTTCAGATGATGAGTGATGTTTGGTAACCATCTGCAGATGAGGAGTGAAGGCACCCCCTCAAGAGCTCAGGTAAATATTTCATATCTTAATATATGTTGCTCGGTGCGCAGACCTCAGGTAAATATTTGGTTATATGTTGTTCAGTGCGTGGGTTTCTTCTATCTTAGTATCTGTTGCTCGGTGTATTGGTTTCTTTTATCTTGACATCTGTTATTTGATACACGGACGGTAGTTTGACCGTTCGAGCAGAGAGTATTGGATTTCTTGTAGGTGACATATGTTGCTTGTTGCACGTACGATAGTTTGATCGTTCGAGCCACTAATAGTATTCAATATTCTGGAGGCTTGCTGCAGAATTTGCCAAGGCATTATTTAGTAACGTTTCCTTTTCCGGTGTGAAAGTTATATTCGCAAGGATGTGAGTTATATGATGATGTTTAGAACTATCTATGTTATTGCTCTCGCTCGCTCATGCTTGCACTCTCTTGCTTACTATTGCCATTTGTGGCTTGAAACCGCCCAGCTGAGGCGGGAGGGTGGACGCACCTATCGAACGCAGAGTTTGATTCGGTATAGGATATCCTATAATCTGCCTGTCTTCTTCTTGCATCAAGAGGTTGTGGGTGGAGAGATTTGGATCATTATTTACATACCCCAGACCCCGCCTCGGAGCCTCCTGGGGGTCTCCTGAAACCTCCTGGGGCCTCCTGCGGCCTCCTGGAGCATCTTGGGGCCTCCTGAAGCCTCCTGGGGTCTCCTGGGGCCTCCTGAGGCCGCCTGGGGCCTCAGAACTACATGCACACACAGAGACACACATCACGCCCAACACATCACACGCTAGACAAACATGACACACACACACACACAACACCTACAACGCACAAAAAGCACGCACAACACAGAGCACACACATCACACACACACACACACATCACAATCCTGGGGCCTCCTGGAGCATCTTCTGGTATCCAAATCGGGCCTCCTGAGGCTCCCTGGGGGGCCCTGGTACACACATCGCAAGGTGTGGCAACCCCACTTGCGCTCGAGTGCGACTTCGCTGTTGCATTTCACTCCTGCTTCAAACGCCCCTTCAATTTTTTGTATGAGCTTGGGCACACACGTGCCACTTGTATGAATATATTTCTCGGATCGGATCGGGCCCCTAGGAGGCAGCGGTTCACGAGCCTAAGACGCAACGTGCCTCTAGGATCAAACTATGCTCGAACATAAACCGCAATGTCACACACAGACGGAAATCGAACGGCAGGTCTTAACGCCTGCTCGATCCTACAGGTCTCGTAATGGCTCCTATCACTCGTGAGTCGATACCTGGGCTTTGCCTGGCATGAGCACGGAAAGACGAGCCTCGGGAAGAATGCGGCTGGCCCTGCGTGTGTGTGTGTGTGCGCGTGTGTGCGATGCAGCCTGCGCAATGTAATCTATGCGATGCAATTCATGCAATGCAAGTCAACGCAGGACCATCTCCGCAATGCCATGGATGCGGTGCGATCTTAAGTCGCACCACGTTGGCTGCACTGTAGGCTGTGCTATGCCCTGAAATGTTTTGCTATGCTATGCTATGCTATGCTATGAAACGACATGACGCGTTGCGGTACATTTATCGTCCCCCGGGTCCGGTTTTCTAAGGCGCCTGTTTTGTAACGTGGGGGGTCCAACTTATTAGAGCGCTTTCTTTGGATTGGAGCTTCGGGGGTCCGATTTATTCAGGCGCCCCGTGGAAGAGGGGGTCCAGAATATCAGGTCGCAGTTGCAGGAGGGTCCGGTTTTATAGGGGGTCGATAAATAAGGGGTTTTGAGATGCGATGCTTAGGTAAGCTACGCTGTGCTGCAAAAAGCTGTGCTAGGCTGTGCTGTGCGAGTGGACGAGTGCGAATGTTAGGTCGGGCGTGTCCTCTTACAAGCGGATTCCGGACGAGAAATCAAAAGTACCCCAAACATGCGGAACACAAATACCAGAAAAATGCAAACAAATAATCCCCTGACTATTTTTTACTATTTTTTGACATTCCTCCTGGTAGAGGGACAGGCCCGACTTAATGCGAGTGGAGGAATGCAACTGGCGGCGACGGACGTCGGCGACGGGCGACGACGGGCCCGCACGGCGCCCAGCCACCTCAGAGCACAAAAGCAAAACAGAAGCCGAAGTTCAGGTCGGGCGTGTCCCCCCGCAGGCGGATTTCGGGCGACACATGAAAGTGAAGACTCAAACGTACTCCAAGATAGTCAAACAAAACCCAAAAACTCGTCCCCAGGCTATTTTCTTTACTACTTTTGAATCTTCCTCCTGTAGAAGGACAGGCCCGACTTAACCCTAAGTGCAAGCACCGTTTCGGGAAATATCCGCCGTCACACTTCCTCTGCGCCGCCTGAACCTGAAGGTCAACCGCCCCCATATCGCATTAGCACCCCCCACGGCAGTCCAGGCAGGACCCCACTGTGGCGGCGGGGCTTCCATTGATGCAGGGGGGGGCTTCTTAGAACACCGCCCAGCCTCTAAGAAGACTTCTTCGAAACCTCCGGGGCCTTTAAAAAGCCACCCCCCCAGCGGGCTTAAAAAAAGCCAGCCTCCCTCGCGCCACCCCCATTGTGCCTTCGTGGGCGCCGCCATCCGCTCCGTGTGGACCAGATCTGCCAGAGGTTTCATGCAGCTGCGGAATCCTGTGCCATTGCGCACGACGCCTCTGTCAGGGCCCCCGCCTCCATTCCGCAGCCCATTCTGGGGCTCAGCTCGAGTCCGCCAGGGACGATCGCGCTACTGAGCTGCACCTAGCGTTTGAGAAAAGTCCGATTCACAGAGCTGTGGGCGCCGCCAACCCCACACATGCGACGTCCTGATTGTTTTTTACTACGCGGTCCCCTTTCCACAGGACGCCTCCCCAAACTGGTGTTTCATCCCGGATCGTTTTTAGACGGTCCCGGGGCCAAGCGGGGGCCCCCAAGAGCCGAACAGATGGAAAAACCTCCCGTCCCGTTTTGTTCACGACGCGAGCATCTCTGAGCCCGCTCACACATGTCGAGGGCCCGGCGCTCCTTCGGCGAACGCGCGCTTGCCGCCAGACGGCTTCGCCCCGAGCCCCGGCGTCGCTTCGCTGGCGTCTGCGATCACCGGTTCCTGCAGGAGCGGCATGAAGGGGGGGACAAGGGGAGGGAAGGGGGGCAGAGGCAGGGGAGGAGGAGGGGAGGGAGGAGGAGCAGAGGCAAGGAGGAAGAAGTAGGAGGACAGGGCGGCGGAAGAGGAGGGGCGCAGGCAGCAGAGGAGGAGGACGTTTCCTCGAGGGCCCCGCGAGCCAGAACGTGAAAAAAAAATGTTGCTTCAGACCGATCGACGGGCGGCGGCTGCGGCGTCCTCCCGCGCGCGAGCGCGGGCAGCAGCCAGCGCCTGCATACCAGGTGTCGACACACTAGGCGCGAGCGGGAGGCAGACGATTGCCTGACCTGTGCAGTAATTACCTGCCGATCGGCGGCAGGATTCCAACACGCACGCATCACCGTGGCAGTGCGGGTGGAGGCCCTGCGGAAGCCTGAAAAGGGTCTGAACTCCGCTCGCGCTTCGCTTCTGAGAGCAACGCCCAGACAACAACAACACGCACATGTGATAACATATTCGGGATTCCTGGCTCCGAGAATCAGCCAACGCGCGCGCGAGGAGGGGCCCCGAGGACTCGGAATCCTTGAGACGGCACAGGGCAGTAGGGCAGTAAAGGCACCTCGACGACCATCCCACCATCGACCAAGACTGGTCACAAGTGATGGTAGAATATCGCGCGCACGTCCAAGCCACCCCAGGGTCGATCGCGCGCCAATCGTGCCAACTAGGGTCTCTGACAGCGAGGATCCGAAGGCCGCTCGGGGCTCGGACGAACTCGAACTTAAAGTAGCAAGGGAGCGAGCGCAGGGCACTGGAAAATACAGCGCGCAGCATTGCCTGAGAAACCGGCCTTGCCCTCTGTCTTTCCACCGGTTGTGCGGCCGTCCCTGCGACCGAAGGCCAATGGGATTCCACTGAAGAAGCTTCTTTGACCAACTGCCATCTGTGGAAATATCGATCTTCTCCCGGAGAGCAACTTTGCGACGGTGCTGCAATGCAACCCATAAATTGAATCTGGCCTTCCGCACACGGTCTCCGCTTTGTGCGTGGCCAGCGCCGTCCAATCGACCCACGGGTCTAGCTCCTCGTCGCCGGGCTGCCCCAAGCGCAGTCTTGGTGTTGCGACGATTTTCCGTAGCATCTGTCGCCGCTCGCCTTGCAACCGCTTCTCTCCCTCTCGTTTTTTTTGGTGTTTTCCTTTTTTTTTTGTTTCCTATCTCTCTCTGCCTCTCCGAAGTCATGGTCCAGCAGCCGCTTCCGCGCAATGGTGTAGAGGCGACAACAGCGTCGAAACAATTCAGCCGAGACGCGGGAGAATAATGCCTGTCGCATAAAACTCTTCTGAATTTACCGAAGGCCGCCCACCCATCATCCAGCCGGCGCGATATTTCAGAGTCGCGAAACTCGTCGAAGCACAAAAATCGGCCGAGATATGCAGTGCCAGACTCACGCGGGAGGACCAACATCCCCCCCCCACCTTCACGTGCGACTGCTGAAGAGCGCCTTTGCGGTTCTGCGCGTGGGACAGAATCTTCGTTTGCCCGCTGTGAAATTTCAGTCCAGCTTCAGCGGCCGCATGGCTGCGTCGCCCCCAGTAATAAGATTTCGTCGGGAAACCTCAAAGTTGCCAAGGCGGCGCCGACGATCTTCTTTCCAAACCGCTTCGCCCGCCATGGCTTCTTGAGCTTGCGCATCGCGCCTTCAAGGGCGGCGCTGCACGAGCAAGGGGTCATGGGGTCACCCAGCTCGGTTCCCCGCTGCATCGGAAAAAATTCGCTATCCCGATTGGAAACGACTTGCCTGAACTGGTTGTCGCGCAGTTTGGCCATGGCCGTGATATAGCTTTGCGGCACCCCCTGCTCCCTGCTCGCTTTCCAAATCGACGCGCGCGCCACCAAGTCGAATGCCTTCTCGAGACAGACAGCTGCCACCCATAAATATGTGTTGTTTTCGGGCGCCTTTGGGATCTCTAGAGTTCTCGGTCGGCGACATGACGCCAGCCCCCCGCGGCGGCGACCAGCGATGATCGCCGCCGACGGCGGAGCCACTCGGCGAGCAACCGAACGCATGCGCTACCAGCAGAAAGCCATCGCCGCCAGCCGCCTGCCCAGGCACAAGCCACCCAGGGCCATGCTGGACTGGCCCCCGCGCCGCAGCGACAGCAGGGTAGCGCCGAGTAAGCACTCCGAGCCGCGCTTCAAACATATTCGAGACATCTGAGGAGATCTGAAGACGAACAGCGCGATGCGCGCGTAAAAAGGCGTCGCGCATGCAGGCGCGCAGCAGCGAAACATCAGGAAAGAGAGGGTGAAGGAGAAGATTGGTTTAAATCCAAGGTATCATCGCTGGAGCAATCGGGAACAATGAACCCATGCATATGACGCCAATCTCGCGACAGCGACGGCAAAACTTGCAGCGGCGAAGATCGCCGTGGCCTCGTGACATATCAAACCCATCTTCATCGCAAGAGCACCCGCATATATAACCAACCACGAGGAGGAGAATGGAAGCGATCACAAGCACAGGCCCCACGAGCGCACACACGGTGAACACTCATGGCAAGATGCGGGGACGCAGAGGTAGAGCTGCGACGATTGTGGAGGACAATGTGCGAGAGGCCGATCCCATGAATCTCAGGCAGACAATTCCGCAACCGAAACAGAAGTCCGTCGAACACAGACGGCCCAGCAAGAGGAAGAGCATAGAGACGAACATACAGTTTACGCTGGGACACTAAGGCGTAATAGTGGCAACGTCCACGGTGCCATGGGTCAGTTGCGCCGTCTGGGAAAGACCTGGCAGGAACGATGGTTGATGCCACCCTCGCGGGTCCACAGCCCGAGCATAGCACGCCGCCGCGCTATCAACCGTGCGTTTACGCTCGCCCCAACAGCCTCCAACGCCAGGGCATGTCGTGGCAAAACGTACGCGGTAAACAATGGAAAGGGCAACGATGTCGGGATTTTCAAATCTTGAATGTGGCAATCGTAGCGGCGTAACCAGGCGGCAGCACGCGAGGCTAAGCAGAGCGCGCAGCGCATCTCTCAAGCAACAGCTGCCGCGCCTTCCCCGCAGCGGCGGGCCCAACATACAAGCCGATGTGTTTCATGTCCGTGCAGATCTTGATCAGCTCCAACCCCCCCGACCCCTGACGCACGGTCTGCATGGCCCTCTCCTCCATTCCCTCCCGCATTGCAAAAGGCTGCACTTGCCAAAGTTGAGCGCCAGCCCAATGGCCCCATCAAGCAACTGGGGCACGCGCCGCACTGCAGGCAGCGAACCGCATACATTTACCAGGCAGGACACACAGAGAGCTGACGAGGAAGGGTGGATTGCATCCAACGAATAACAGGATCGAGACAAATAACAAACAGCGCCATCGAGCTGGGCCACCTTGCCTAGCCCCGCGGCTCAGCGAAAAACCCGCAAACCGCCGTCCCCCAAGAGCAACAAGGCCGCGATTGTTCTCATACAACATGCGAAAGAAGGACAGGATGAACAATGGAATGCCCATGGCAGCAAGCACAACATGAAGCCAATAATGGAGAATAGAAGGAAACGCAGCGGCGAAATCGGCAGCGATGATCGCGGCGCTGTCACGCCCAAGCAAGATCAGCTGGAGGCCCCATCCCTCCGCCTGAACCGCATTAGTAAGCATATGCCAACCCTTGACTCACTTCTGCAACGGCGCTACAGTGTCGCGTGAGAGCTGGTTTTTTAAGCGGCGCACAAGACAGGCTAGAGAGAAGCTTGACATCCGTTTTGGCCATAGCCAAAAGGCGAGTGCATGCGCGATCCCGAACAATGTTCCCAGCAACATCCACTCCCCTTTCCCCTTTCGGTAAGAAGACCATCAGCAAGCCCCCCCCATGCCATCGAGCAGTGCAGCGATGGTGTCACGCGCCACCTCAAGATAAACGCTGTAGAGATACCGCGGAGCGCCCCCAACACGCCAGCACCAGTACGGCCTCCCATCAGGACCGGGCATCGAGTTACGACGCGATCGAATAAGCTAGTACAACTCAGGACAAACGACCCCTCCGAACAATCGTTTCGCCATCATCAGCGAGTCGGCACCAATGGGCAGTGCGAGCGCGAGACAGAATCTCTCCCAGCGAGTGCGATCTGCTGGAACGTCCGAAAATACCCTTCCCTAGAAGCTCGCCAGACATGCAGCCGACGCCTCCAGCGAAGGATACGGGCGGCCTTGCTCGTCAAGCACGGCAGAGAGAAACGCGCGGCGCGTGAGCTCCCTCCAGAGCTCCTGCCACTATCGCGACATCCTCATGGCATTCACCTTGGCATCATCCTTGATCTGCTGGTCATTCGTAAAATCCTCCTCCTCCACCGTCAACAGGCTAATATAAAGCTCCTGGATATTGCGGGGTAGACCCTGGAGATCAGTGCACGCCAGCGCCTCAATGTCAAACAATTGCTGCAGCGGCGGATGGGCAGCGAGGGCGCGGCAATCGAGATGGCCCTGCTGCGATCGGAGACCGCGCAGAGCAACCATGCACCAAAGGTGTTGCTCAGATTTCGTCACGGCAACACGCTCGGCAAGTTTCCGACGAACAACTGGGGCAGTGTCATGCATTAGCTGCTTGACCTGCGCAAGAGCGGACGCGGCGGGCAGGCAGCCGAGCTCATGCGCACGCTCGAGAAGAATGCTTTCTAGCGTCTCTTAGTACACATCGGACTTACTCAACCAACTCGGGATCGCGGGAGAATCGTTCGAAGTCGGGCGGTAAGTAGTAATGTGCACGAGCACGGGCATGCGATCCGACTAGACGGAGCCGCAAAGCTTCCCAACGACAGAGGTCTGACTGGCAAGATCGGCAATAAGGGCAGCAAGGGAGGATGAGCACGGACGGTCAAAGCGTGACGGATGAACAATGTTACCATCGCGGGTCTCGCGACGGGTATCTTCAGCTTCAGCGAATTCTATCCAGCCCCCACAGTGCCGATCAACAACGTCATGGAACCGAACGCCACCATGAGCCCACCCACTCCCGTCCACGGCCATT